ATACTTAGAATATTTTGTTGCTTTATATATATATATGCATGTTCATGCATGTGAAACAACATATATGCCACTTATCACTGTCAATGTTAATTGCTATCAATTTAAAATAGGGGAGGAAAACAGAGCACATAGTATATAAATAGTATTAATTAAAATGTTATGCAATGCTATCAATTTAAAATAGGGGAGGAAAACATTGCAAATAGTATATAAAAACGTATTAAAATGTCACTGTCAATGTTAATTGCTATCAAGTTAAAATAGGGGAGGAAAACAGAGCAAATAGTATATAAATAGTATGAAAATGTTATGCAATGCTATCAATTTAAAATAGGGGAGAAAAAGCAGAGCAAATAGTATATAAAAAAGTATAAAGATGTCACTGTCAATGTTAATTGCTATCAATTTAAAATAGGGGAGGAAAACAGAGCAAATAGTATATAAATAGTATGAAAATGTTATGCAATGCTATCAATTTAAAATAGGGGAGGAAAACAGAGCAAATAGTATATAAATAGTATTAAAATGTTATGCAATGCTATCAATTTAAAATAGGGGAGAAAAACAGAGCAAATGGTATATAAAAAAGTATTAAAATGTTATGCAATGTTAATTGCTGTCAATTTAAAATAGGGGAGTAAAACAGAGCAAATAGTATATAAACAGTATTAAAATGTTACGCAATGCTACCCATTTAAAATAGGGGAGGAAAACAGAGCAAATAGTATTTAAAAAGTATTAAAATGTCACTGTCAATGTTAATTGCTGTCAATTTAAAATAGGGGAGGAAAACAGAGCAAATGGTATATAACAAAGTATTAAACTGTTATGCAATGTTAATTGCTGTCAATTAAAAATAGGGGAGTCAAACTGAGCAAATAGTATATAAATCGTATTAAAATGTTATGCAATGCTATCAATTTAAATTAGGGGAGGAAAACAGAGCAAATGGTATATAAAAATGTATTAAAATGTAACTGTCTATCAGTGTAAAATAGGGGAGAAAAACGGGGAGGAGATAGTATATAAAAAAGTAGTAAAAATGTCACTTTTTATATCAATTGTTATCAATTTAAAATAGGGGAGGAAAACAGAGCAAATGGTATATAACAATGTATTAAAATGTAACTGTCTATCAGTTTAAAATAGGGGAGAAAAACGGGGAGGAGATAGTATGTAAAAAAGTAGTAAAAATGTCACGTTCTATATCAATTGCTATCAAAATAAAAAAAAAGAGGAGGAAAACAAAGCAAACGGTATGTAAAAAAGGTATTAAAATGTTATGAAATCATCTCAAAACGTTTCTATCTGTCATTTTTTCGATTTAGGGGTCCGACGGGGAGAATAAATTCAAAAAAAAATCATCTTAATTTTTGGGATTGAAAAGTGAGTTCAACATATGTATATATATATACGCGAAATGCCTTTTGAGTTCCCCGTCGGACGAGCTGCGATGAAAATGTCAAGATTATATATATATACATGGTTTTGTGATGTTTTTGATCCCCGTTTTTTAACATTTTGTTCTATCTGTTGTTTTTTAGGCATAAAAAGGTGACGAAAACGTATAATATATACGTAAAGTTGAGTTTTTTTCACCTATCATTTCTATCTGCTAGATCGCACTCGGCGTTCTATGTGTCATTTTTTCAACTTGTAGTGATTTTTGATTTTTCCATCTGCAAGTTCGTGACTATAATTAATAGATTAATTATTCATCTATAATTTTAATATAAGTTTAATTGAGATTGCAGTGGATGGTAAAAATAGATTAATAAAGTAATAGATAGTAATAGATAGAAATAGATAATAATAGATAGTAATAGATCAGATAGATCAGATAGATCAGATAGATCAGATAGATCAGATAGATCAGATAGATCAGATAGATAGATCAGATAGATCAGATAGATCAGATAGATCAGATAGATCAGATAGATCATAGATATAGATCAGATAGATCAGATAGATCAGATAGATCAGATAGATCAGATAGATCAGATAGATCAGATAGATCAGATAGATCAGATAGATCAGATAGATAGATAGATAGATAGATAGACAGATAGATCAGATAGATAGATCAGATAGATCAGATAGATCAGATAGATCAGATAGATCAGATAGATCAGATAGATCAGATAGATCAGATAGATCAGATAGATCAGATGGTCAGATAGATCAGATAGATCAGATAGATCAGATAGATCAGATAGATCAGATAGATCAGATAGATCAGATAGATCAGATAGATCAGATAGATCAGATAGATCAGATAGATCAGATAGATCAGATAGATCAGATAGATCAGATAGATCAGATAGACCAGATAGATCAGATAGATATAGATCAGATAGATCAGATCAGATAGATCAGATAGATCAGATGGAGATAGATCAGATCAGATAGATCAGATAGATCAGATAGATCAGATAGATAGATCAGATAGATCAGATAGATCAGATAGATCAGATAGATCAGATAGATCAGATAGATCAGATAGATCAGATAGATCAGATAGATCAGATAGATCAGATAGATCAGATAGATCAGATAGATCAGATAGATCAGATAGATCAGATAGATCAGATAGAGATAGATCAGATAGGATAGATAGATAGATAGATAGATAGATAGATAGATAGATAGATAGATAGATAGATGAGACCAGATAAGACCAGATAAGAATAGATAGGAATAGATAAGACCAGATAAAAATAGATAATAATAGAACAATAGATAAGATGAGATCAAATTGGACAGGTAGATAGATAGATTAGATTAGATACATTTGATCATTGATTATTAGATTAGATAGTAACATACTTACTTCCCCATTAACAAGAAACTATTTCCTGGTGCCAAATTTCTGCTGATTTCTGACTGGGGTAACTAATTTTAATATCAGAAGACTTGTTGCCCATTGGATGAGGCGTTGTGAATTTAACTGCTGTTTGGGAACAGTTGCATGCAAACAAGCAGTTAAACACAATGGTTGGAGTGTCTTATCTACTTATCTAATCTATCATTTAATACACATATATATATCTCTCTCTCTCTACCTATCCACCTACCTACCCGGCTACCTATCTATGTATAGTGGTGCATGTAATTAGTTTAGAAAGGCCAGTGTTTAGATTGTGTACAGGCTCTGTATAGTACAGTTTTATATTTCCTCTCTTGCCTTATGCTCCGCTACCACTATGAAAGTTGCCCCCCCCCACCCCACCCACCCAAGGCACCACAGTGCGTCAGTGGAAGTAACTCACAACGGGCCTCTGATACCAAGTTCGCCTCACACCCACCTGCTCACCTTCTTCTAGTCAGTTCTGACAGTCTGACATTTGACCGACTGACTGGCTGAATGTCCGGTCAGACTCAGACTGAGTTAAGATAGTATTAATCAATTATTATTTAATTAATTATTAATTTAGATAGATAGATAGATAGATAGATAGATAGATGATAGATAGATAGACTCTTAGATAGATAGATAGACAGATAGATAGACAGATAGATAGATAGATAAATAGATAGATGGATAGATAGACAGATAGATAGATAGATAGACAGAGAGAGAGAGAGAGATAGATAGATAGACAGACAGATAGATAGATAGCTAGATAGATTCATAGAATTCATAGATAGATAAATAGTTAGATAAATCTTAGATAGATTAGGTTAGATACATTAGACAATAGGTTAGATTAGATAGATAAGTAGATTAGATACTAAGACACAAGCAATGGGGCGTTGTGAATATTTAACTTGGGAACATGAAGTTAAACACAATTCTTGGAGGCTCGATTCCTGCCAGGTCCGGCTGTCTTATCTACCTACCTATTCTATTGAATCTATCTACTATATATATATATATCTATGTAAGAATCTACCTACCTATCTGGTTACCTATCATGTCTAATCAATCAGATCAATCTGATCCATCAAATCAATCTAATCCATCTAATCAATCTAATCAATCCAATCAATCAATCAAATCAATCAATTAATCAACCAATCACTCAATCAGTCAATCAACAATCAATCAATCAATCAACCAATCACTCAATCAATCAATCAACCAATCACTCAATCAATCAATCAACAATCAATCAATCAATCCATCCATCCATCCATCAATCAATCCATCAATCAATCAATCAATCAATCTCTTTATCAAATCAATCCATCAATCAATGAATCTTTCACTCTTTCAATCCTATTATCTGTCTTTCTGTCTTCATTCATGACATCAATCAATCAATCAATCAATGAATCAACCAATCTTTCAATCCTATTATCTATCTTTCTGTCTTATTAATCTATGTCTATCTATCTATCTATCTATCTGTCTATCTATCTATCACCATCCATCCATGCATCCATCCATCCATCTAATTAATCTATCTACCTACCTATCCATCTATTTCATGTATCATCTCATGTCTATCATCTGATTGTATATAATAATATATATATATAATTATCAATAGGTAAATAAATAGTATTAAACTTACTTATAATTAAAAAATAGAATCAGATATAGAACAATTTTGTTATCTAAATTAATTAACTATAAATTATTGATTATGTACATACTTTGAATTTAAGTAAAATATGTTGTAAACAGTGATTTCCCAGACTTCCAAACCACCAACCCAAACCACCACGTAAGCGTAAGCTGAATATAGGTGTGTGTGTGTATACCTTTCTATATGATTCCGCCCGTTCCCTTTATCCACTCCGACTTTGTTTGGCCGCATCGCCATTGGGGATTGTGACACCTGGCCTTCGCATTGAGAGGCGACTCTCACCCAAAGATAAGGGATATGATCTTCCACCTGAATGGGAGTTTCCATAAATGGGGGTAATTACCCCAAAATGGATGGTTTGGTAAAATCCCATTAAAATTCATGATTTAGGGGTACCCCCATTTTAGGAACCCCATTTTCTATCCATGGCCCACTAGACTATCCATTCCGAAAAAACACCATGTGGAGGTACAGGAGGCCGTGACGCTGATTGAGGAATGGCACGGCTCCTCCAAGTTCAAACCCTTAACTCCGATCACTTCGGCCTTCCGCCAGTGCCTTGACGGGCGAAGTAAACGGGCGTGACTGTCGCGACCGGGCCATTAGAGAAACGATGAGCCGTACTTCTTCGTCTTGTCCTTGGAATAGTGATAGTGATAGTAATGATAATAATACCAATCATATCCAATCATATCCAATCATCATCCTCATCCTCATGCAATGGTCCCAGAAATCCAACCGCCAGCTTGGCATCGCGAGGAAAGATGTGGCCATTGGTGGAGATCCCAAGTTCCGGGAGATGAGCCACTTTCTCACCAGCTATACTCATCAGGAACGTTTAGTGGGCATGCACCACGGAGATGTCTCGCCCAGAAAGGACTGGGATCACGCCCCGAAAGGGGCACCAAAGCTGGAAGAAAGGCTAGCATTTTTTCAAACCAAGCGGACTTTTTGGGGCTCAGCCTGCTTTGAAGTGTCAATCATTTCGACGCTGGCCCTACCCAACGGCCGTAAGTTGCGAACTAAAACGACTCTGGCAAAACCCACAGCCATCCCTAAGCATCCCCACAGCCCACCACCGGATTTGTTTGTCTTCATCTTCCACATCAAAATGATCGTTTTCGGCTATGCATCCTCCCAATTTTTGACAAACCCATATCAGCCCGTATCACAATGTTGGTGAAAAACACATCATTTTAGTTACGCTCCAACATACACACACACACACACATATATATATACACATGTATATATATATATATGTATGTATGTATGTATGTATGTATATATATATATGTATATCTAATTATATATATATACATACACATGAAATATATCGATATATATATATACCTCAAGCTTCCATGTATATATATATATATATGTATATCTAATTATATACAATATATATACATACACATGAAATATAATAGCTATTTATATATATATATATAATTATATATATACCTCAAGCTTCCATTGCATGGAAAATTCTAGGCGTTTAAGGTATATAATGAGGCGTTTCATAGAAAAACGCAGCGATTTGAAGTCATAAAATGAAAACAAGGCGATCTTTGGAGAAACAGGTTGTGGGCATCATGATTGCCCCATCTGGAAACCATCAATCCAAAATAGCGGTTCAGTCCTGGGTTGCAAGCCCTGCTGCTTAATTGGTAAACCCAAACAGACAGAATGGGCATGAGAGCGATTGAACTCATTGTCCTTCAAACATGGTCAAAAATGCGTCCTTTGCAAAACGACTCAAATTACCCTAAATGGCCAGAAAATCAGGATTTGCGCGCGTTTGACAGTTTTTGCGCGCGTTTGCGGGATTTTTGCGGGCGTTTTGCGGGTAATTTGGGTCACAGGATTTTGTTAAACACATGCTATCAATCCCACATTGTCAAAATGTGTCAAAAATGATGGTCCATGCATGCACTATGCACACAAACATATCAAATAATACAGGTCCTCCTAGAAAGCACATAGGTGCAGCGGTAAGGAAAGGGAAAGTGAACAGAAATGGCTGAGGTGTGGGTGAAACACTGTGAATTACATATTTCATATTCAGTACCTCTTACATCCTCTTAGAACATGATTTTCAGGCATTTGAGTCGTTTTTTGGGTTCAATCCAAAAAACAGTGATTTTGATCGTAAACCGAAAAAATCACTGGATTTTTTGCAGAGGAGTTCCGAGGTATTTTTTTTCATATCTCAGCAGAAGCTTTAGTTTCTATCTCCTCAACACTCCCTTCGCGCAGGATGGCATCGATTCGATGAACCGACGCGTCCGAAGCCTGGCGCACGACGCCAAGGTCGAGAGCCCCACGCACCGGTGCCTCGGAGGAAAACATGGCACGATATGGCAAGGATCCCATATTTTATGGCGTTCTATGGCGTTCTATGGCGTTTGATGACCTATAAGATGGCCTCAGTTCAGGTGAATTTTGTATGAATCAAGATTCAACAAGATTCAGAGATTGATGGATATATAGTTGCTTTATAATGATTGGTGCTAATGGCATCACATAAAAATATGCAAACATATATGTATATATACTGTGTATATATATATATGTATAATTATGCATATTAGATAGATAGATAGATAGATAGATAGATAGATAGATAGATAGATAGATAGATAGATAGATAGATAATGATAGATAGATTAGATTAGATTAGATTAGATTAGATCGATAGATCGATAGATAGGTCAGCATGTACACGATGGCGTTCTTTGTGTCGTTCCGAGGAGTTTCCCTTCATCTCCAAGGCCGTTGGCTTTGGCGAGTGGCGAAATGGGGGCTCCTCAAAAGGAGGCTAAGTAACCTATGATTTAGGCAGATATAACTACTGAATAGTATAATTACGGTCCAACGCCATTGTTTGCCCGGACTCGCAATGATCATCATCATCATCATCATCATCATGATCATGGGGACGTGGCTCACACGCACTCCCAGGGCTACCACCCCCTGGGGTCGTGGGGACGAATCTGACATGTACTGATGAGGAACCATGAGGATACCCCCCAAAACACCCCCACCCTAAATGGTAATGATATGTATCTTTCAAAGGTCATGGGGAAGATGGTAAGCTTATAACCATACAGTTAATTCCTAAATGGGAATAATATGTATCTTTCAAAGATATGGCTATTAAGGTACATGAATGTTTTGTAATTTCTTGGGCAAACGATGGTGTCAGCGCGTATGATTACAGTAGTATAGTTAATGGGGTTTATAAACCATATCACTATAATTATAGTTAATGGGATTTATAAATGAAAAACATTTAACATCTTAGCGCCCCAGCTTGTACAAGACCACTGCATGTGGTCTATTGCTGTGTGTCACTTTCGCAGTTTGAACTGGGACTTGACATCGACGTAGCCATCCGTAACTGGCGAAGAAGAACCCACCAGAGCTGCTTTTCCAGTTTTTTTTTCCATGGTTTTCTTCAATCAGCTGCAGTCTTTTCCCATGTTCCACACAGCAGGTTTGCTATGGCCGGAAGTAGCATCACTGGTGCGGTCGCAGCGGCCCCCTCCAATCCCAGCAGTGATGCTGATTCACCACGGGCGTCGCAAGCGTTGGGGCTGGATGCAGCACCTTGGAAGATGGCTGGGAAATCCGTACCAAAAATGAAGGTAATGCGGGTAAAAATAATAAATCAAGGAGGGCCTAAGGAGGGTTATTATTTTTTTTCCGCGGCAGGTTTTGGCTGGTTCTATGCTTTCCTGCTTCTCTGCTGTTCTGCTTCTCTGCTTTTCTGCTTCTTTGCTTGTGTGCTTTTCTGCTTTTCTGCCTTTCCTGCTTCTCTGCTTGTCAACTTCTATGCTTTTCTGCTTTTTGTTTTTCCTGCTTTTTGCTTTTCCTGCTTCTGTGATTCTCTGCTTTACCAGTACCTGCTTCTTTTCTTTTCTGCTTCTCTGCTTTCCCTGCTTCTCTGCTTCTCTGTATTTTGTTTTTTTTGCTTCTGTGCCTTTCTACTTCTTTTATTGTGTTTTTTCTTTTCTTCAGTCATGTGTTTTTGCTGCTCTACTTCCTGCTCCTCTGCTTCTCTGCTTCCCGTCTTTACTGCCTCTTTGTTTTTTCTTTTCTTTTGCTTTATTCTCTCCCGTTTGTATCCTAATGAAACCCTAAAGACCCTAGCTGAAACCCAAAGAAACCCTAAAGAAATCCTGATAAGAACTCCTGATAAGAAACCCCTACATGAAACCCTAAATGAACCCTAAAGAAACCATAAATTAACCCTAAAGAAACCATAAATGAAACCCCAAATGGCATCCTAAAGAAACCCCATTTAAACGACACTCTAAAAAAAACCCTGAATGAAACCCTGAATGAAACCCAAACTGAAACCCTGAAGAACCCGTAAACGAACCCTAAACGAAACCCTCAATGAAACCTAAATGAAACCCTAAAGAAACCATAAATTAAATGAAACCCTAAAGAAACCCTAAAGAAACCCTAAGTGAAACCCTAAAGAAACCCGAAATGAAACCCTAAATGAAACCCTGAAGAATCCCTAAAAGAAACCCTACATGAAACCCTAAAGAAGCCTTAAAGAAGCCCTAAAGAAACCCACATGAACGTTTTGAAATCTCCTGATAAGAAACTCTACCTGAAACCCTAGAAAAACCCTAAATGAAACCTTAAATGAAACCCTAAAGAAGCCCCAAAAAGAAACCCACATGAACTTTTGGAAATCCTGACGAGAAACCTTTATATAATGAAACACACAGACCCCGAGGTTTGCCCAAGCCCAGAATAGCGTAAATACCACGGAATTCTGTACGACGTCAAACGACGGGAAGGATTTTATGTTCAATTATGTTGCTAGGGTGTTCACCAGAACATGTTGCTTCTATGTTACACATCACATACCTAGAACATGTCGCTTCCACATATCACATGGAAGAAACCATACAGTCATTAGTTTTTTGATTAAAGGTTAGAAGAAATCAAAATCCCCCAGCCCAACGGAACACTTAATCATACAGTAATTAGGGTTTCTAGGGTTTCAAGAAGCTATCAAAATCCCCTGCACCCATGGAACAATTAACCATACAATGATGAGGGCTTCTTTTAGGGTTTCAAGAAGATAGCAAAGTCCCACGGACCAACGGAACAACTAACCATACAGTCATTAGGGTCTCTTATAGGGTTTCAAGAATATCAAAACCCCCCGGCCCAATGGAAGAACTTTTCATACAGTCATTAGGGTTTCCTATAGGGTTTCGAGAAGATATCAAATTCCCCCGGCCCCATGAAACAATTAACCATGCAATCATTAGGGTGTCTTTTGGGGTTTCAAGAAGATATCAAAGTCCCCTGGCCCAATGGAACAATTGACCATGCAGTCATTAGGGTATCTTTCGGGGTTTCAGGAAGATATCAAAATTCCCCGGCCCCATAGAAAAATTAACCATGCAGTCATTAGGGTAATTTATAGGGTTTCAAGAAGATATCAAAATCATTATCATCACCATCATCACCATCATCACCATCATCATCATCATCATCCTCATCATCATCATCATCATCGTCATTTTGGCTTGCCCGGACGCTCGTTGACTCGTTGCGAGTCCGGGCAACCTCAGGGTCTTGCCGCAATGAAACCCTAAATGATACCCTAAAGAACCCCCAAAGAAACCCACATGAACGTTTGGAAATCCTGATAAGAAACCCTTTGATGAAACCCTAAAGAAACCCCACATGAAACCATAAAGAAAGCCTAAATGAAAGCCTAAATGAAACCCTGAATGAAACCCTAAAGAAACCCTACATGAAATCCTAAATGACACCCTAAATGAAACCCTAATGAAACCCTAAAGAAACTCTCAATTAACCCACATGAACGTTTGAAGTACCAACATGTAGCAAATAACATGCAAATGAGAGGTTGAAGTGCCCAAACGTGGCAAATACCATGCAAAATGGAAGGCGAACATGGCCAAATGTAGCAAATGCCATGCAAAATGCTAAGTAATCATGCCAAAATGTAGCAAATACCATGGAAAATGACAGATTCTAGTTCCAAACTGTTGCAAATACAAGGCAAATGGTACTAGGAAAGCAAAAGACAAATCCAAAACCCGAGCCAAAAAAACACCAAAAACTATTCTGAACCGAATAATAAACCACAACCAATTTGGGAATGTTTTATGCCACCTATTTATCGTGATTTGGGGGATTGTTTATTTATACCCACATTAATGGAAACATCATCCATAAACCTGAAGAAATTGTACAGCCAAAAGACGGTTTGGATTCAACGCAGATGAAAATTGTTCAGCTACTTTTTTCCCCATCTGTCTAACAGTTATGCGAAGTGGGAAAATAATCGATATAAATCGTCTAACTATATTCCATACTGCGCACATACCTGAGCCGGTGAACCACTGGAATATACTGGCATAATAACAATGGAGTATACACTTTAAGAAGCCCCAACGTATAACAATTCCCCAATGACCAGAAATGGTGGCTGATAAGCCATCCCCCAAAAAGGATGTTTACGGGTTTGCCGCGCATCACCAGCGATGAGGGTTTCCCAGCTCCCAGGAACTCAATCGAAGATTGAAATGGCGTGAAGAGCTTGATAGGACAGACATGGACCGCGGACCACCGTCCAACATGGTCCAACAAAAGGCGAAACGACCTGGAATTCCGGGTGCTGCAAGCTGTCTTGGCTAAACTTGTGGGACCAATGACAAGAAAACTGAGAGCAATATCACTATACAATTTCCCATTGGAATTTCGCAAGGTTTCCAGGTTGGGACCATGTATCTGAAATTTACAGATGGCAAGTTCATGCAATTGGGACCTTTTCCGAAGATGGTTGTTGTATGTTGTTGTTTCAACAGTTCCGCAGGAACTTGAGGCGTTTGATGACGGATGTAGAGCTGGGTCGAGATCCCAACATGAAGCACTACGGTCACAAGCAGCTGGGTTTCATTGGTGTCGGCATTTCCCAAGCAGGTCACATCAGGTCACTACGGTCACTCACATTTTCTCACTGAGGATGGTTTGCGAGCAGCTCTTTGGCGAAATTAGGTGCACTGCCTAAACGGCGTTTTGTGGTTTCGGCCGTTTCGGCTGAGGTTTGAAAAGCGCTATGACTGGTTCAAAGACTGTGGCGACAAGGAAGTTCTGAAGGAGAGTTGTTTCATGTTGTTTCCCTGATGTCCTGGGGATTGCGGTGGCGCTGCTAAGCTATCCTCGCGAATCATCTCGCCATTAGCCATCAAAGCATGTTGAATGTCGAAGGTGCCTGAGGATGTAAAATGGTGATGGACCTCTATTAAGAACGCATAAGATCTCATAATACTGTATCACCAAGGGGGCTTTAAATCTATTTGAAGATGCAAGCACTATATAAACACGATTTTCCCGACTAGCCTTGAGTTAAACAGTTGCTCGCCTGTCGGAGGAGCAGAAGGGACCACCTTTTGTGAGGTATGATCCTGCGAAACCGGTGATGGCCGGATCAACTCGAGGAATTCCAAAGAACTGAGATGTGCCACTGGGCCGGGTTTTAACACGTATCGGTGGAAGGATTGGGAGTTTTCTTAGAACACCATAGAACACCTATGTTGATTATGTTGGGATTATCTTGTTTGTTTGTTTATTTTGGTTTATTTTGAGGACTATGTCGAATTGTGGATGACTTTGGATGGTACTGTGATGGTTTGAAGCTGTGGGACCTCAGACAGTGCAGGTGCACATGGAACTGATCGTTGAAGACGCGCAGCTCTCTGCACGGAATCGCGGCTGCCGTGTAAATTGAACAGGGCACCTCGGTGTCTGCTCGGTGTCGACCTGAAGATGTCGCCTTGTACTGGATCCTGAAGAGTGCAGCATAGTTCTGGGCAATTTCATGCAATTTCATGCAATTTGTAAATGGCAGTTTTGTATCCTATTGATTTTATTGATTTTCTATGGTTTTGTTCCTGGGGCCTGCTCCAGCTCTGCCCAACTTAGGCGTCGTGCCGCGGAAATGTATCTTACTGAGAGTGAGATTCAATGCCAAAGGCATGAAGACCTCAGTTTCGCAACACCTGGCAGATTCTCACCTCACATATCATTTCCCACGAAGGTTTTTTTCAAACAGAAATTGGGATTTTTGGTGTGTCCACTGCAAACTGGCTTGCTTTGCTGGGTCTTGACTTTATCTATTGTATATCTATTGTGTATCTATGTGCTTAGCGCTGCACAAGTCTGCCGGGTATGCTCACTCTATCCAGCCCCAGTGCCGTGGGTTTATGACGGTAGAAATCGGTGCAAGATCCTGACGGGCGGACCGCACCCGTGTTGAAGACAGGCCTTCATGCGCTTGCAGTAAAAGCCACCCTTAGGCCTTAGGCCCAATTTATGGGTGTGTCTCGAAATGGGGTATTCCGGTATTCCTCCCAAATAGTCATTTGAATACTGTGGATGGAAGGAATCGGTGGGAGAAATCACCTATCAACTGGTGCAAGATTTCTTCCATCAGGGAAGATCGGTAAGATGATGACCCATACAAACCCAACTGGACGGTTCACTATTCATGGGGATGTCCCATCTATTTTTCTATTTTCGGGCCTGTCATGTTTGGATGTGTATGTGCCGGTAAAAATGGCCACTACAGCCTCTTAACGCATTAAGACATCCAAGCCCCATGGGGCATGGAAGATGATGTTCCACGATGCGGTTTTCATAGCGTCTACGAGCGGTGCAAGCTGAGGTGGCTGATATCTTCGCCCCAGTGGTGAGGACGGTGCTGAGATTTGGTGAGCCTGTTTGATGGCCATCGATGATGATGTTTTGCAAAGCAGGAGGTTTCACACTATTTGATAATATTTATTTATATCTATTTATTAAATTATATTGTATTTATATGGTATTTATATGGTATTTATTGTATGAGTATAGACAGTATAGAGATACCTTTAGAACTTTAGAATTCCTTTAGATATAACTCATCATCAAAACAGTAGATTTCGCCGGATTCTCAGCTGTTTCCAGAGGTAACTCATCTGGATCCAGGGAAGTGCTTCAGTACATCACTCGGGGATCAAAACATGTGATGCCATAGATTCATATGATTCATAGATGTCCTGTTTCTACTGGGTGGTTGGTACAGTAAATAGAAGGATTATAAATTGTTTTATGACGATGCCTAACTCGCCTTCCCAAGCAATGGTTGATAATGGTTGTATGATACACCATTCTTGAGGGTGATGAAATGTGATGAATATCCAGCAGCATTTTGATGTGCGGGTGCCAGGCCTGAGCACCTCAGTTTTTTGAAAACCCACTGGCCGCTTGATATCGCTTAATCTTCTGTGGCTCCAAGCGTGTCTCAACCCTTCTGGCGAAATAGCTGACATGCAGCGGGGCGGAGAGACTGAGAAAGGCGCACGCATTCCATGCGCTATCGGGTTCCGTGATATGATGGGTCCCTTTCAGATACAAAATGAATCAAAATGATCTATCATCCACACATGTACACATAAAGCCACACACACATACATATAATATTAATTATAGATATGATACTTTGCTATGTATATTATACTGTATATTTGTTAAAACAATCAGACACGTTAAAGAGACATTGAGGATTTGGCCGAGCTACCGAGCCCAGTTGTCACAGCGCCAGTCACGACGCGCCAGTCTCCAGGTTTCTGATCGCCGCTGGCGGCTGGAGCGATCAGCTGGTTGCTCTGATTTTCAACGGATAGCTGTGGATATGATATGCACATGCAGTAAATATACCCTCTGGTAATTTTAAGATAGCTATTGAAAATTGCCATTTATAGTGGATTTTCCCATTGATAATGGTGGTTTCCAATAGTTATGGTAGTTTACCAGAGGGTAAGTAATACTAGTCTTGCTTCGCCTATTAGTTTTGGTGAGGGGTGTGCAAAACCTTCATTACCGATAGGGAAAGACCCTATACCGATACCCCTGTTTTGCATGAGTCGCCTCAAAGTCTGTGAACACAGAAATCCTCACTAATTACCGATAGGGGACGACCCGAATTTGTGCATGGCATTAAAGTGAACAAGTAATTTTGTCCGATATTCATATATGTGTAATAATGTGTATTTGCATGTATTTGTATGATTTTGTATGCATATATTTATATATTTCTGTGGTATATATAATCTTTGAGTGTTTTTTTTTTCACAGATTTCCTTCCATGTCATGAGGTCTTGACTGGCTCTAATATGTTGTTTCCACCTGTCACTGGTCATGTCTTTAGCGCTTCCAGATGAGGCTCGCAGGCGGCCATGGATGTTGCGACCATGTGGGGCGACAGGTTGGGAAATCGAAATTTTGTCATCTGCTTTGGTGGCTCGCTACCAAAACTTGGATGATGGCCAGAGATGCTAGGTATTCTCTTTCAGATCTTTCAAGGCATTCAGATGCAGTGAGATGATGTGAGATGTGCTTGTACCTGCACAGGATCATGTCCATGCACATGATCGACCGCACTGCGCGAGTCAAGGGCTTGCACGCTTCTGAGTTTGGTGACGATCCATGCCTTGACGCATTGGAGCTAGTGAGCAGCTAGTGAACAATATAGGATGGATAATATGGATAATATGGATAATATGGATAATATGGATAGATACTGTCGGAATGTGTTGGCTGGTGCTTTCCACGGATGTTCCATGATTTGTCATGGGAGGGCCGGTTCCTGATCCCAGGCATCTCCGGCACAGAACCAGTTTGCCGCCTTTGGATGGCGGGCCGATTCACCACATGCATTTCTTGCCAAGGACGGCGGATGGGTCTAATGGGGCAGCTGATGGCAGCTGAACATTTCAGGTGGATGGGACAGAAGGGAACCTTCAGACCACATTTCCCAACTGGTTTGGCATACAAAGCCAACAACTGTCCAGGTAAATCCAGGTAACATGCGGGCGTAACTCTACCCATGGGTGGCCATTCTTGGTGAAATTCCATGAGACTCTGGGTGAAGATTGGGTCGACAGCATTTTTCTCGGTGAAATTTGATTGTTTTACCGATGCTTTATCTATTCTTGGGCATGTGAATGCGTGTCCCCGGCGCATTTCGGCCGCGTCAGGGGCCACATCACTTCTGACTGGTCCACAGATCCCCCTCTGGGTGTGAGCCTGAGTGTCTCAGAGAGCGACAGCTGGAAGTCGGCTCCAGGGCCAATCATTTTTTCGGAATGGCAGGATATCTTTTTGGACTTTCGATGACTTTCGGGAATTTGATCCGAGAAAACGTGTTTTTCTGGTTTCACTCGTGTTTCAGTTGCCATGCATTCTTTTCCCGCCGCCTGGGCTCTTTTCAGCGTCGATTTTGAGAGGGAAACACGCGCAGCCGCAGAAATTCGAGATGCAGATCTTTGTAGCTGGGCCCATGCTGATGGCTGGGGTGAATTTCAGAGTGGTTCAGGGGATTTTAGGGGAAACATGCAGGAAACCATGGTTAATGACGGAGGTTTCTTATGGTTTCTTAACTTTGAGTTGGAGAGTTAAAACAAGCCAAACCCACATTTTAACGTGTTCAAACTAATTACACTCTGGTAAACTAACATAGCTATGGAAAATCATTATTTTTAATAGGCAAATCAACTATAGATGAGTCATTTTCAATAGTTTTGTTAAATTACCAGAGGGTATCAGCTTTGGAAGTTCGTCAATTATAGACGTGTCCTATATATCTTGAGAGGGTCGCACTGGCGAGCCTGGTTATATAGCGAAGCCGAAGCCCCAAAGTTACAACTCAGTCCTTAACTTGCAACTGGCTTAGTTCAGAGGGTTCACCATAGTTTGAAAACATCATTTAACATGTTTATACTTCGTGAAGCCTATCTTTGGTGAAGCATAGTTAGGCATAGTTGGCATAGGTTCAAGTTGCCAGCATCGATCTCTGGTGAATCCACTCCTGGGATTCCTGGGATGATCCCGTCAGACTCTGAGGTGAAGACTCTGACGGGAAAGACCATCACTTTGGATGTGGAGGCTGGGGGGATGGGGGGGATGGGGATGGGGTGGTAATGGGTGGTATTTGGTTTGAAAAACTCCATGTACTCCCATTCTGGTTGGTTCTATGCCCCCATTTCGGTCGGTTCTCCCAGAAGTGTTGTCCTTTTTGTCAGGGAAAAACTGGAAAAAAACATGGACAACCCAATGTTTGGTTGGTTAATTTATGGTTTCACGGCAGCAAAATCCATGGTTTCTCCCCGAAAGATGATGTAGACATCGCTAGCGGTGCTAACTTGAGGGTAGCCGGGTAGCCAACATGGGAATAGCGATCAACACATATTGATACATATTGGGATACTCATTGGGGCATAATCAAAGCTCAGCAGCTGGGGTTGACATCCACTGGTTCAAACCACCCCATGATGGTCACATTTTTTACCCAATGCCTCTGGTAACGAAAAACATGTCCTCAGAGGCCTCTGACACCATCGACAATGTGAAGGCCAAGATCCAGGATAAGGAAGGGATCCCACCTGACCAGCTACATGGCGGCATAGATCCAATTCATATAAGATTTATCATTGTATGGCCTTTTTTCAAACTTTTTTTTTTCTCTCTCTCTCTCTCGCTCTTATTCTATCTCTCTCTGTTTCTATCTCTCCCCTCCTGTATGCCGAACCCCAGAAATCCCCAGAAGTATTGATCTTCGTTTTTTTTTTTTGCGTTTTTTTAACCCATGTTCTTGTCTTTCTATGTCTTTCTTCAGCTATTTGTCTCTGCCTCTGCTTCTGTCTCTCTCTCTCTCTCTCTTTCTCTTCTTTTTCTTTTTTTGGGTCTGCCCATTCTCTATCGAATCTATGCATCGAACCACACAAAACATCGATCTTCGGCTTCTGTTTTGGGGTCCTGTTTTTCTACCCATGTTCTTGTCTCTCTTCAACTATTTATCATTTTCACTCCGGAGATATGCTTCACTTTTGTCCTACAGGACGCTGTACGCTGGCAACAGATGAATAAACAATATGTTTCGATCTTATATGGATGGCCAGCCAGCTGGCTTTCGTACATTCCCTTGGCCTCAGAGCGCCGTGGAAAGTGGTCATGCTTAACAGATAATTATATGATATTATATGTAATTATTATAACATTTGGAATTGAATGGGATTGAATTTAGGTAATTTTCATGAGGGTTATGTTAAACTTCCAGAGGGTGCGGGGTTATCATGGCCATGGTGGCTCCGATCTCCCAAGGCAACGTCTGATTTTTGCTGGCAAGCAGCTGGAGGACATCCACTTGTGATTGAACCCAGGAGGTCTAGGATCCTGACAACTATGTACATCTATGTGCTGTATACACTGTAGACTTTGTAATTTTATGATATTTTAGCACAATTGATGTAATTGTGCTACTGTTCAATGCAAACTGTAGACTACCAAAGCTGGACTTTTTGAGAGCCACGTCTTCGCAGAACGTTTGCATTTGGCTATGAGACGTTCAGGACGGGCGCACCTTGTCGGACTACAACATCCAGAAGGCCTGCCGCTGAAGCCTTGAGGAATTCCTGGAGATGCCGATCCCACGGATTTTCAGAATTGTAAAGGACGATTTATGAAGTTTTCCCAGCAATATCTAAAGCATATCTAAAGCATCTAAAGCCCTATTTTCATCATTTTTCCATCCTATTTTCCAAGTTTTGAGAGGATAGCCATCCATTAGGACCCCTCTTGGGACGCCTTAGGATCCACCAGGGATCCACCGGTTAGCACCTCCCAGGAGTCCACCCTTCACTTGGTCCTGCGCCTTCGTGGTGGCCATTGCCAAGTTCCATGCGGTGCCGAAAATCCATCTGCAAGACTTCCTGTAAGATATGACATATAGATATTGAACAGACATATATACATATATACATATATATATAATATACTGATATATACTGAGATATGCTGACATATACTGATATACTCGAAATGTCAGGCAACATGTTCCTCGGTCTTTTTCCATGTTGTGCCCTCCGTCAGCAGATGAACACCAGGCATTTTTGACGATCCTAAGCTGGTAGCTGATGTCAAGGAGGCCGTGGCAACGATCAAGAAGGCTAGCGGTCAATGACGCCTCCAGTGCGCATATGGAAAACGGATAAACAGCTATTTTTTGTAGTTTCTAGATCGTTGCCCAGGGGAAAACCATTGATTTCCGCATGCTAATGTACCAAAAGGCACAGCAGTCAATCTTCCGTGAAGCAGATTGTCAGCTGCTTGCTGCACCGTAGGCCATGGTTCAGATTGGCGAACTCTCTGCCAGCATGACGCCTCTCAACATCAACCAGATGACCCGCTGGGTAAACACCAAGGTGGGCAACATTGGGCAGCCATTGAAAACCATCGCACGTTTGGAACCACGGATAACACGGAACACATGGCAAACTCGTGCAAACTATGCATCAAAAGCTTGACAGGTCCGGCCTTCAAAAATCGGTTGTGTGGCCAGGAAGAGCATGCCAGCAAGATTGTCAGCCTGATGTGTGGCACCCCAGTCATCCCAGTCTCAGTCTTCGAGTCTTCGACTGCTTGGGCCACTTGGGCCATTCCAATTAGTTGCCGAGGTCCGAGTACTGCTTTTGTCAGCGGGTGAAGCCGGTGAGCGACCCGAAGACACCTTTCGCAAGCGAGGCGGTTGGATAGGGATGGATAGGGGATATAGGGGATTGGACGGAGTCCGGGCTAAGTTGGACATTGGGAAGAATTTTGACATATGGAATCAAAATTAATCAAATAAATAAATGAGCAAATAAATAAATAAAGGCTAGAGACTTCAATGAAAGACTTGGGAAAAGGTGTTCATGAGGGGATATTGGGGGATATGATCAGCTGCAGCACTGGAATTTGTGTCAGGAACATCCCCAGCAACTCATGGGTCAGACGGGTCGCAGGCCGACTACATTGCTGCTCTTCAATCCCATCACGCCGTGCCTGTCATAGAGATTGGTGGAGAATCCCATCATGTCTGGTGGACGGATCGCCATGATGGCGATGGGAAATCAGGGAAATCTGCCCCAGGCATATCCCATGCAGCAGTGACTTCCCAGGTGATGCTGGCTGCTGTGAAATGCAAGCAGAACGTGGATCCCGCTTTGGCAGATGCCCTCGATGGCGCTGTGGCCGAGATGAGCAAGATGCAGCTTGTTCCGCAGCTGTGCTTCGTGTTGTGTTGATGACATTCCTCAGGTCCTTCCAGCTAATATCTATCCATATTTGGTCCCCCAAAACGAAGAGATCCAATACAATACAACATCTCGTCTTTACCGAATGTGACCATGTCGGTCTTGCTGCCAGTTGCTAGGAGTGTTCCATAGATGACAATTACTATACATCCCTGTACTGTATGTGACTGTAGCGGTCTTGCCGGGTTGGCAGAGGGGTGGCAATTCCACTCCCCAGAGGTACATGAAGTGAAGACATCTTGTGGCCCGCACTGCAGTTATAGATTGGATTCATGCTGAAGCATGTGGCGCTTTCTTGGCGCATAGACAGTAGACCTTTTCAAGCAGCAACAGTAGCAACAGTTCAAAAGGTGTGCTCCAACTTTACCACCAGTGGAGTGTTCTCAAAGCAATTGCCACAGTGATTTGGGAATCGTAAAGCACAAGGGTGCTGCATTTTTCTGCGGCTGCCACTGTTTAGCACAGGCATTTGTCACCACCACCACATCTTCTGAACCTCAGCATGGCTCAAGTAGATATGAAATCAGTGAAGTATGTCAGCCAACCCTGACGATGTTCTCTTGCCATGGCTTGCGCCCTCAAACGCTTCCTTTCAATGCACCTGCTTCATCTCCCCAAATTCCCCGCCTCGGGCTATCTGACGGATTGACCGGTCGAGGGCACTCGCTGTGGCTTGGTGCCCTAGTCTTCACCCTGCAGCGCCGTGTTACTGCGCGCGCCAGCGCCCGCAGTGCTCGCAGCACCCGCTGCACGCGGCAGGCGGTGTCCAGCGAAGGCGACGAGCCGCCGAGCGCCAAGAAAGTGCGGAGGCCCACAGACGAACCCCTGAGCCAAGAGGAGCCATTGCACCCTGCTGCCTCTGAAGAGCCAGTGACTGGAAAGAAGCCGGTGATAGAGCCAGTGGTGGATGATCCAGTGGATGGCCCAAGGAAAGTACCGGTGGAACCATCTTCTGAAGCTGGTGATGGTGAAGGTGCTGAAGCTGCAGCATCTGCATCTTCTGAGGGAGGTGACTTGAATGACCAAGTCATGGGTGAAACTCCGGATGAACCTCAAAAGCCTCCGGAAGAGGCCTCATCCACACCCATGGATTCCATAGATGGGGAGTCTGAAGATGACCTCCAAGTTGAGGAGTGGGAGGATGAAGAGGATGAAGAGGATGAAGGGGTTGACAGGATGATGGGTCTGGAAGCCTTTCAGATGGTCCCACGTGAGCCAACTCCTCCACCAGCTTCCTGCAGTGAAGGCCAAGATCGTGATGTACTGCCAATCTGCGAAATGAAAGACGAGATTTTGAAGCAGGTGGCTGAGAATCGAGTAGTAACCATCATTGGTGGCACTGGATGTGGGAAGTCCACCCAGGTACCTCAGTTCATCATCCGGGAGGCCGCAGCCAAACAGCTTCCCTGCAACATTATGGTGACGCAGCCCAGACGCCTCGCCGCCACCAGTCTGGCTCGACGTGTCGCGGAGGAGCTGGGCCTTTCCATGGGGCTGGAGGTAGGCTATCGGATCAGGGGGGAAACTGTGCCCGGGGAGCATCTGTCCTTTGTGACGGCCGGCTATTTGCTGAGCTGGCTCACGGCCAATCCCGACAGCGCCAAGAGCATGACACATCTCATTCTGGATGAAGCACACATTCGCAGTGCAGATATGGAGTTATTGCTCCTGATGATGCGACTAGTGATGCGCATCAACAGCCATTTGCGCGTCATTTTGATGTCTGCTACCATGGAGGCGGACTTTTTTGGGAACTACTTCGCGGAATTTTCCGACCAGCCACCGGTACCGCTGTCCGTGGGTGGCCGCCTCTTCCCGGTGAATGTCATGCACTTGGACGACCTCGTTGATGGCCGAGTCCCAGGTGGGAAGCTCCCGATCAGGCTGAGGAGACGCGTGGCGAAGGCTGCGAAGAATGCCTTCAAACCAGAGATTCTGAATAGCATAGGCGCGGAAACGCTGCATGGTGCGGCTTGAGGGTTGAAAATCTTGAAATCCGCCATCCACCATCCTTGAAACTTGATAGCAGCCCATCAGAAACCCGAAAAGATCGATAAGGACTTCCGGAAATGCGACATATCACTTTAATAAGAATCTGGATCCTTTGTAATTCTTTGTGGGTAATAGTGTTCCTTCATGTTCCTTAGATGAATTGGAAGCGTGCTATTTTGGCGCCCTCTTTCAGGCGAAGCAGATTTGGAAAGTCAGGTGGTGCCCAAAGTGGCTCCACCCATTCGGGAGGTGGTTCAGGAAATGATTCCAGTGGTGGCTGAGGGTGGCTCGACCATCCTGGTCTTCATCCCTGGCTATGCGGACCTGGTGCGGATGCACAGCTGGCTCTACTGGAACCTGCCCACAGCTGGGTCAGTGAACATGGGCTATGTACCGCCCAAGCCGGAACAGCTCACGGAAGATGATGAGGAGGAAGAGCAGGACTTTCATGGATTGGGCTGGTATTGGCTAGTATGCATGCCATTGAAACAAGATGAAACAAGTATATTTATATAGAATTATATAGAATTATATAGATTGAAATGTATTTAAATTACTGTACATTATATTGAATTTAATATTTCGTATAGCTATATGTAGTTTGATTTTTGATTCCTATTGAATGAAAATGAGGCGAGTCATATTTGTGGGGTGGTTGGAAAGCTTCAGCCACAGGAAGACTTCGACGAATTTCAGGAGTTTCAGGGGATGGAGGGGCCTCTTGCAGAGCCTCCGCATGCCAAACGGCCAGATGGCGATGCACTGGAAAACACCAGCGGCGGGATTAAGTTTCGGCTCTTTGCCTTGCATTCCCAGGTGAGGTTCAACCGTTCAACATTTTTTTGATCTCGCTCAACAGGGTTTAGAGGAATCGTTTCAAGTTTTAAAGCCTCTTCCGCTTGATACCCACTACTACAATCATGCTCAGGTGGCGCAGGAAGATCAAGAACTGGTGCTTCAGAAGCCACCATCCAACATTTGCAATGTGGTCTTGGCCACCACCATTGCAGAATCCTCCCTGACGCTGCCAGAAGTCATTGGTGTGATCGATTTTTGTGTTCACAAGACCAGCATTGGAGATCCCAGCCAGATGGGTCTCTGCAAGATTTCTGCCCAATGGTGCGCTCGCTCAGCTTGCTTGCAACGCGAGGGCCGTGCCGGTCGAACGCAGCCAGGCTGGTGTATTCGGATGGTCCCTGAGAAGTTCTTTCGCGCCTTGCGTGACTGGTTGGAGACTGAATGAGACTGATAGTTTTCTTTTGGGTCAGGGTTTTTTCGCTCCAGATAATATTATTAGTATTGTACTATAGTTATATAAAATAGATAATGGATATGTATGGATATGTCATTTTACAGATCTATATAGCAGGTACTTGGCGAGTAAATTCCGGATCAGAAACCATCGAGTCGAACCATCCGAGCCTCCGAAATTAGTAAATTTACATTTTGGCTAGGTTCACGTAAATATAACATATTAAGTAAGTATTTACGTAATTTGTTTTTGTCTTTTAACTCTACAACCTAATTTTTACAATTTTCTGTTTTTGATCATTTGTGTGTGTGTGCGTATTTTCTTTAATAATAAAATTGTAAATATTGATGTTGTTGGCGAAATCCCTCAAGGATTCTCCCCTCGTGCAGTCACAGCTTCTCAAGGATGACTAGGTGTAGGAATGGTCCATGCCAATGACAATTGCTCAAAATGACTATGCAAAAATATGCAAAATCTAATTTTGACTTACCACCCGGGGGATGATGATATGGTAGGAACCCAAGATGGTGAGATTTGCCTGGTGATTTCACATGTTCTCTATCCCACTTGACTATTCCTGCCTGGCTCAACCACCGCGCCTGCCTGGCTCAACCACCGCGTCGAAGCCAGGCGAATATGACGTGCCTGAGATTCTCCGCACCCCCTTGACCACTCTGTACCTGAAGGCTAAGGGCATAGCTGATGGTCTCAGCGAAGTGGTGTCTGGGCCGGCAAGACGCAAGGAGTCTTGATGATTTTGTGTTTGGTGTATCATGATGTATATATCTGATGCTATTTAGATTACTTGAAATTACTTGATATTTTTCTTAATACTGTTAATATATGTTATATAATATATGTTAATATATGTTAATATATGTTAATATATGTTAATATATGTTAATATATGTTAATATATGTTAATATATGTTAATATGTGCTGATTTGATTTATATCAGTGACTTATACTATTCCATGATTCATTGTGGTGGCAAGGAACCCGGAATCCGTTGGGTTCCCTGTGGGTTCGACACATTTCTATCCAGCAAACATCACCAGCTACCTTGCAGCAATCTCAGCGGCACACTAGATGATATCATGGGGTTGTCTCAAATTCTGGCGCTCCAAATCCCGCGGCTTAAAACTGCCATAGATTTTTTGGTATCATCCCTTTTCTGTGCCTCTTCGCACGATGTAGCGAAGATTTTTAGCACGGTTCATCCAGGTGGCCAACGACGAAGAACTGCAACAGCAACTCAGTTTGGAGGCTGCCAACCCAGGTGAGCTCCTGCAGCAGTTGCTGGCTCCTCCCATGACCGAAGCCATCGATGCAGCGGTGTATCAACTGGCACGGCTGGCAGTTTTGACCGAAGAATCTCCCAATTCCAAGGTCACCGTCTTGGGGCGTTTGGCGTTATTCTTACCTTTGGACATCCAACTCTGCCGCTTGGTGTGGCTGGGCTGCCATTTCGGCTGTCCCGCGGAGGCGGTGGTCATGGCTGCAGCCTGCAGCACGGCGTCACCCTTTGCCAACCCGTCACGCCTGGGCTTCCAAGATCCGGATGAATTCACCCAGCACCTGGCAGACACTGCGGCGGCCTGGCGTTTCTTTGATGCCGGCCACTTCTCAGAGCCTGGGGCAATGGGCAACATGGGGTGGCCATGGGTGGCCTATGGTGGCCTTTTTCTATGATTTGTATCTGGTTGCCTTTGTGCATTGCATGATGCTACATGCAACATGTTTTTGATTACTGTCAGCCATCATCAGTGTTTGTGGGAGAGATGCGATCAAACGCAAAGAGCTCTCATTGGATATCCATCCTTCATCATCCTTCCAACACTTTTTCGCCAGTTGTCAAGTTGTCACTCCGCAACACCTTCTTGTTTTACCCTTACTTCCAGATGGTCCATCAATTCATGGTCAACATTTTGATGAACCGCCAAATTTTGAAGGTGCTCTTCCCCACTTTCCACCTCTCCATGTTTGCTGATTACATCCACTCGATTGAACATGATTGCGCACAATTATATACTAGAACCGTTTGTCAAGTTTTCGGTTTCACGGCTTATCGCCCCATATGCATTATGCATGCATGAAATTGTATGAATATATGTTATATGATTATGTATGTATATGTATGCATGTATATGTGTGTATGTAATGTAATGTAATGTAATGCAATGTAATGTAATGTACTGTAATGTAATGTAATGGTAGTGCAATGTATTGTATTGTAATGTAATGTAATGTAATGTACTGCCATGCAATGCAATGTAATGTAATGTAATGCAATGCAATGTAATGTAATGTAATGTAATGTAATAGTAGTGTAATGTAATGTAATGTAACGTAATGCCATGCAATGCAATGCAATGCAATGCATGTATGTATGTATGTATGCATGTATGTATGTATATCTATATCATTCTATATCTATATATATATATATATATTTACACACACACATATGTATATATATATATGTAGGTATATGAATATGTATGTACCTAATATTGCATTTTTTGAGGCTGCATCCATACATCTCTTGTTCCATCCTCGGTGCTCTGAGGAACCCATCGCCTTGTTCCGACTCTTCCTGGGCTGGCTGCGACGCCTCAAGTTGACGCCCGTGCGCAGTAGCACGACCCAGCGCTGGTTTCGCGCTACCAATATGCTGGAGAAAGATGCTGCCATAGAGCCTAGGCCTAACAAATAAATAGGTACTTTGGCGTTGGTGGTCGTTTCTGTTGGGGAAATTCGTTCCCGAAGTGGATGATAACTGATGGGTCCATGCCACCATTTTTTGAGCCATAGCCACGTGCTTGATGGTGGCGGAACCTGTTTGAAAGATTTTGAAAGGATGATCTGGCAGAACATGATGAAACAGTTCATTGAACAAATTTGAACAAGGCATTTTACCCGCACGGCCCGCACTTGAATGGCAACACGCATTTCAACATGCAGAGGTATCAGCACCTCAAAGCTCTGATTTTGCATGGCTGGTAGCACAAGAGAACACGGTGGAAACCAACGTCCAAGGTTGAACACGTTCCACGAAAGCCAGTCCAAGCCAGTAAACCTTTCAAAAAATAGGGATTTTGATCCCAATCCACCTTTAGCCCCCTTTCAGCATCTTTCAGCCAATGGACAAGATAAGATCAATTGATATCAACGACTTTGGAACTTACATAGTTTTGAATCCTCTATCATTGCTAATCATACCACCCCAAGTGCATTGTTCCATTATTACTGACTCATTTTTCATATGGCTTGAATCCCCCACCATCCAACCAATAAGACAGCCATTTCCATTATTTTCCCCCTTAGTTTTGACCGTAATTTTGAATCCGCCATCCATTCATCCAAATCCAACCATATTGTTGAGTAGACCATCCCCTTTAACACTCGTTTTTCCACCGTTTCATTCCTCTGAGCTATATAAACACCTGTAAGATATGGCTTGACCCCGAGCCCCCCCACCCCCGACGACTATCCAAATCCAACAATATTCTTCTTGTTGGTTCGAAAAGCAATTTCTTCACATTTCCCACCACTCAACAACCTTTTCTATGGGTTCAACTCCCAACCACCCGACTCCAAATCCATCCAGCCTCACCACCAGCCGTACAAAACCACCCAAGAACGCAATTCCAAGATATCCCATGATCCAATCAGAAGTACCCTCTGGTTTAACACTTCGCCATGGTATAGATGGCCCATAGAAATAGATGCTTTACCTATTCAAAACCTATTAATAGCATGGGTGGATCTTTCCATGGCGAACTGGCAATGTCATAATCAGATGGTATATCCCCATCATATCCCCATCAGGATCATCCCAATCTTTCCCAGGCAACGTTCCATCACTGCGGCACGACCGTTCGACCGTTGCTTGGGGTTTATGTTGGTCGAAGGAATACCATTAACCCACCGCTAATTATGCACCATTTCTTATAATTCACCATCATTAAACGGTGGTTTAATGATTAATATATATATGAATGGTTCATGTTTAATTTCGTACACCATTATTCACCAATATAACCCACCATTAATCCACCATTAATCGCCATTCATACAGCATCAGTTAACCATGATTAACCATTATCAACAATTATTAACCCACTATTCACCCATGATTAACCATTACCATTCAATACTAATCTGATTAACCATGATTGACCAATATCAACCATGATTAACCATGATTAACCATGATTAACCATGATTAACCAATATTATGATCACCTTCCCCAGGATCCCTCGCGCATGACGGCCTTTGTCTCCTTTGTGGCCGACCTGGCGATTCGCTGCCGCGACTTGTGCTGCAGCGAGCGCGACGAGGCGCTCAGCTGCCGCGTGCGCCGCGACCTGCACGGCCTGGTGCTGCTGTTGAGGCGACCGGACAAGAGCCGGGAGGAGCCGTGGATGGCCATGGGGGTGGATGGGGGGTTAGGGGGTTTGGGTAGGGGGTTGTTGTACTACTACTTGTTGTGGTTGTTGTGGTTGTTGTAGTTCTGATTGTTGTGGTTGTTGTGGTTGTTGTAGTTCTGATTGTTGTGGTTGTTGTGGTTCTGATTGTTGTGGTTGTTGTGGTTGTTGTGGTTGTTGTAGTTCTGATTGTTGTGGTTGTTGTTGTTCTGATTGTTGTGGTTGTTGTGGTTGTTGTAGTTCTGATTGTTGTGGTTGTTGTGGTTGTTGTAGTTCTGATTGTTGTGGTTGTTGTGGTTGTTGTGGTTCTGATTGCTGTGGTTGTTGTGGTTGTTGTAGTTCTGATTGTCGTGGTTGTTGTGGTTGTTGTAGTTCTGATTGTTGTGGTTGTTGTGGTTGTTGTAGTTCTGATTGTTGTGGTTGTTGTGGTTGCTGTAGTTCTGATTGTTCTGATTGTTGTGGTTGTTGTGGTTGTTGTGGTTCTGATTGTTGTGGTTGTTGTGGTTCTGATTGTTGTGGTTGTTGTGGTTGTTGTGGTTCTGATTGTTGTGGT